GGTTATACATTTTCCTCTTTCAGACTGCCCGTCGAATAGAACAGAGAATATTGGCCATGACATAGAACTCGTCGAGGTGTCAGTCGTGAAGGACGAAATCCTTACTTCAGATCCAATCTGTTGCGCGTGCAAAACCAATTTGAGAGAGCCTTACGTGAGGTGTGCGGCCTGCGTCAATGTGGAGTTGTGTCCTTCATGTTTCTCCAAGGGATGGGAAATGGGTGAACACAGGAACTATCACGATTACGTTATCGCCAAGAATGAGTTCGAACTGGTAGATGGTAGCGGTTGGACGGCGAAGCAAGAGTTGGAATTATTAAATGTTGTACAAGAATGCGGCTTTGGTAATTGGGTTGACGTGTCCAAAAGAATAGACGGCAAGTCTACCGAGGAATGTAAGGCGCATTACTTGGAGAACTACGTAGATAATCAGACCCTGCCCGGATTGCCAAAGATTAATGAAACTAGAGGCAGTTTATTTGCATCCGAACCTATACCGTATTATTACAAATTGCACGATTTGGAGGAACCACCTAGATTTGCCACAGATACCCTCAATTGTAGAATGTTAGCCGGATATAATGCCGCGAGGTCCGACTTCGAAGTGAACTTTGATAATCACGCGGAGCTACTCGTATCCGATTTAAATTACGATCAATTTGATTCGGACGATTCGGACAACGAATTGGGAAGGTCTTTGCAAGTAGCTATCGTTGAGGCTTACAACAATAGATTGAAGGAACGTAAGAGACGAAGGAAGATCATACGAGATCACGGATTAATAGCGATAAGGAGAACGATATCTTGGTTGCAGAGGTACGAATGTACGATAACGCGTACTCTTGCAGAGAGGCTGTTAATTTTCATGCAACTTACGGGGGGAATGGATTTCGATTATCTTATGGAAGGGCTTCATCGCGTTGGCGAACTTAAAAATTATATCAATAAACTCGTCGATTTTCGTATCAACGGTATAAGATGTTTTCATAGTGTTTCGATATTTCAAAAATTATCGAAGCTACGCCAGGAGAATGAGAGAGATAGAAAGCAATATTTAAATAATCCAGAATATAGTTGGAAGAGCGTATTACCGGATAACGTTGCGAATTCTAATATATCGATGGGACATAATATACCGCAGAGAAGAGCGGCCCCGCCTCTCGCAATTAACGGCCTGCCAGGCTATGAAAGGCTTACCAGCGACGAAAAGCTATTGTGTTCCGTGACAAGGGTGGTACCGGCGAGCTATTTGGATTACAAACATATATTAATTACGGAAAATAAAAAATGTGGTTCTCTGCGTTTGGCACAAGCTCGCGTTCTTCTTAAAATCGATGTTAATAAAACGCGTAAGATATATGATTTCTTGACGGACGAAGGATATATAAATAAACCAAATTAATGATTTCTAATGGCACGATAACGTGTATCGGACGATACTAAATACGCGTAAGTCTTTTTTCGTATATTTTTTATCGCCGTGTCCATTAGTCAGGCTAAATTTAAGTTGTAACATTAAAGAGAGATAGTATGGCGCATCGAGATATCTGTAGAATCTGCAAGAAAGAGCCGTATTATTTGTAATTCCTATAACAAAAAATTTTCTATAACATTAATATCGTAAACGTGTTTATTCGTCGTTACGATACTTGCTCGGCCAAGATTCACCGTTATCTTATTTTCTGGACCAAAATAATTTTTGTTTGTTGTTGTTGTTTTTCTTTTTTTTTTTTTTTTTTTTTTTTTTTTTTTTTTTTTTTTTTTTTTTATTTTTTTTTATTATAGAATTCGAGAACGCGGAAACGCTGTTAATATCCGAAGTATACATGCTGCTGGAACATAGGAAAGCTCAAAACGAGTCTGCGGAAGAGGAACAAGAATTTTCGGAAGTCTTTATGAAGAGTTTAACGTATACTAATCGATTTGGAAGATTTAAAAATAAAGAAACCATCGCAGCGGTCCGAAGGTAATACTCTCGTCGACAATTTTTAATTCGAACTTTGAAAGAGTCGAGTTTAACGTCCTCTTAACGTATTTTCACCAGCGTTTACACGGATGCTTACGCCGTGTCTACATCGTGTTTATTAAAGCCATATCGATTAATTACATTGCAGCTTATTGATGCAAAAAAAATTACACAAGTTCGAACTCGCCTCGTTGGCAAACTTGTGCCCGGAAACTCCGGAGGAAGCCAAAGCCTTGATTCCCAGTCTCGAAGGACGTCTCGAGGACGAAGAGCTACGAACGATCCTGGAAGATATACAAACGAAAAGATCTTTGCAGTACTGATCCTTTCCCTTACGATCGATCTCACGACTGTAAATATCTATATATATATATATATATATATATATATATATATATATATATATATATCTGCGTATTCCTTTCGAGATATGCGACAACACTCATTCCATTTTTCAATAAAAGTAAATCGCCTCTCTTCTTCGTTTTTCTTTCGTTTTCTCTTCCTTTACTTAATTCATTTTTCTCTCTTTATCAACTAGCCGGGAGAATGTTGCGTCCAGTTACACAATTGCGCATCGATTTGCGACAGGGTGAGAAGGCAAGCATCATCCTCTGTGAGAGAGAGAGGAAGAGAGAGCGAGAGAGAGAGAGAGAGAGAGAGAAAGAGAAAACCGCTAATCGTAGGACCGACAACCGCACATTAACAGTCAGGTAATTGCGTACGGGTTGACTTTGCACGCTCATCATCGTCCCACGAAGCAATCGCGCCAACAACATCCCCCTACTCTCTCGCGATGCTTTCTTTTGCCGAAGCGTCTGGGTTGCGATAAGGATCGTACAGTCTTTCTCCTTTGCGCCGTCCAACGTCGTCCAACACGCCCTAATGGGCACCTTCTGGCCACCGTGCTACGCTCCATGGATATCATCTATCTCGTTGCGAATTGCACTTTTCTTCTATCGCGCCGTATCATCTCTCTTTTATTTTTTCGCGCTATGCGACGGAATGTAACGGAGGGATCGCAGCAGGATCAAGCGTAACGAGTGGCAAGGAAAAAGAGAAACGTTGTTTATAATGACCAGCGCGTTGGGTGTGCGATCTAAGAAGGCGACATACACGTAACATATACGTTTAGCGAAATTGGGCGACGAAGGAAGGAAGAAAGGAAAGAAAGAAAGAAAGAAAGAAAGAAAGAAAGAAAGAAAGAAAGAAAGAAAACTGCGCCATCGACTGCGCATTCATTTTGATCCGATCCATTGAGTCGCGCCATCTTTCCTAACTCGTATGTAAATGCGTCTCCTTTGGTAAAGCGATTATAGTCGCGCATTCTATGAAAAGAAGAAAAACAAATGCAAACATTTCGAACACGTCCGTAGCGAAAACGTAGAATACTTCGAATGAATCTAATTGCGCCCGTACGAATATTAAGGATCTTTCGTAAAAATCGTGCTGACGCACGTGACTGAACCGGTGGGCGTTATCGTCCGTATGCCTATTCACTGTACTTATCGTCGGGATTGCTCCTACGCGCAAACCTTTCAAGATAATTATGTTGATCGTTAATCGACTATAAACCCGAAGCAATTACCACTAATTTTATCGTGCAATCGGAAAGGTTCGCGCGAAGATGGAAAAACTGTGTCGATTTCGAGAGAAATGTTATCTAGAAACAAGTGCTATTCGAGCATGCGTGCTACTATAACTTTCGACGTATTTTCCGTTCTCCTCGGCAATAGCTTTTTACGCCTTTGATTAAATAACCCTATCCTGGTGTATTGGTTTGGAACAAGTTTTTCTTTTTTCTTAGGCGACGCAATAACGTGCGTTTCTTTTACAAATTTTTCGTCTACTCGGCAATGTGAATGGATTTTCCTAGTGCAGACGTTCCTTTGTAAATTGGACAATTTGATCGGCGATCCGATGAAAAATTGTTTAATGTAAGTTTTACGCTTCCGCGTAAGGTAGGGTTAAGCGGGCAATCGATGGAATCAATTTGCATAATGTATACGCGCAAATGTGTACGTTCCACAATGAATTCTCTAATGGGGACGCCTTCTGTCGACGATATCGTATGATATCGACATCGGCCGTATGTACTGGTACGTATTAACGGATACGTTGACGATAACGATAAAGATCGCCGACGGCGAATTTTAAATCGGCGAATCCTTAAAATTTTTGGTCTTACGTACGATTATTTTTTTTTTAGGATCTAACGAGGAGTGATTAGAGAACGGTAGGAGAATAGATATTTTAATTGTAACAGTGCATGGTGCACATATAGAGTACGTAGGATCGAAAAAAATCGAATCGAGGTTTCTCGTTCGCGCTAAGTTATTTTGGAATTTTGTCTCAGCACAAATGTGAAATCTTTGCAATTTCTTTCGCGCAATGAAATAGCTATCGATCGCGGAGACACGATCGGACGCGAAGGATAAAGATCATCTCCTTTTCTCGAGGAGGTCGCTTTTAAACCGACCAGTTTACTTTTCTTTGATTATTGTCGTCAAGCCGTGCATGATGTCTCGTTCAACGAGAAGGTTGTAGTATAGCAACGAGCGTAGCGATGATAAATAGATACGCGGAATATTCGAGAAAGTGGGTGTGAAAAATTGACGAGGATTACGAGAAGAGAGTACGTGGTTGAATAAGAAGAGGAAGCTCCTTGTCTCGCCAAAACCTAATCGGGCTACAAAAGCTGAAGAAAAATCGCCGACGTTGGGAGAAAAGGAAAGAGAGGATAAAAAAGAAAATAGGTTCGTTAGGATTGGAAAGGTCGAGAGCAGCCGAGAGCGGTCGAGAGTAGCGCGACTCGATAGGAGAGGACAAGATATGGGTACGTTGATGCGCTGCTGCGCTTCTGCGCTGCTCCTCGAGCTCCGATCGAGCGAGGCCGCGCGTTGCACTCGTCGTCAAGCCGAACGTGTACGAGGCAAACCGAGGGAAGCCGGCCGGGAAGCTGAGCGATTGGTCACCGGATCTGACCGAAGAATACCGAGGTCGACCGAGCCCAAGCCGAAGGGGAAGCGAGCGCGCGCAAAGCGCCAGGCGGCGAGTCTCCACGGAGAGAGGCGCACAGCTCAAAATATATTCAGTGTATTGCAAAGAAGCGTGCGACGTGCCGTTCGCGTTTCGCTCGCGCGTTTGCTCCTTCGTTTGCGCGCGCATCTTCTCTTTTCTCTCGGTTGTAAGACGACGCTTCGCGATATACTCTATAATATACATTATATGCTCGCACGAGCGTTTTCCGAGGAAAGAAAAATAGTTGGACGCTTTTTCCTTCGAGAGGAGAAAAGAGCCTCTCTTTCTGTTTCTTTATTTTCCCCTTCCCCCTTCCTCCACCCCATCCCTGCCCTACCCCTCGACCCCTCTTTCTTTCTCGCTTTTTCTCACTTTTCCTCGACGTAGGAGCGTCGAAGAAGATACAGGAGGATCTTAGAGGATACAGGATCCTCTTAAAAAGAGGAGAACCGTGCGTGCCAGAGAGGAGGCTCTTTCTCTTGGTTGACCGTGAGCCCAGTCGTAAACGCCATCCACTCTTTTCTCCGCTAGAGAGGATTTTTCTGTGAAAAAAAGTAAAACAGAGGAGGAGAAGGAGGAGGAAGAGGAGGAGGAGGTTATCGCTCGTGACTAGAAAGGAGGAAGGAGGATCGACGATCGGAGCTTTTCCCACGAGAGAGATCGGTGAGTCTCCGTCAGCAATGTCGTCGTGATACCGAATGAAATGGCCGAAGGTCGAGATGAGAGTTCGCTATCTCTCTCTCTCTCTCTCTTTCTCTTTCTCTCTCCCTCGCTCTTTCGCTCTCTCTCTCTCTCTCTCTCGCTCTCTCTCTCTCGCTCTCTCTCGCTCTCTCTCTCGCTCTCTCTCTCTCTCTCGCTCTCTCTCTCTCTCTCTCTCTCGCTCTCTCTCTCTCTCTCTCTCTCTCTCTCTCTCTCTCTCTCTCTCTCTCTCTCTCTCTCTCTCTCTCTCTCTCTCTCTCTCTCTGTCTGTCTGTCTGTCTGTCTTTCTTTCTCACAGAGTGTCGAGCGAGCGAGAGGAGAGGAGGTCGTTTACTTGGTCGCGACGCGACGCGACGCTTCCCGCGAATCCGCATCGTCGATTTCTACGAGCTCGCAAAGTGCATCTTTCGCCAAGATCTTCATAGTATCGTGGCTCTTGGCTTAGCCACGATGGCAATCACGGTGAAAATCACGATTATTCCGTCCTCTCCGCTTTGTTGGCCGCGTTTTTTTTTCAAAGAGTTTACAATCCAGCTAAATTACATTCTCTCTTAATCTTCTTTGAATCCCCTTTAATAGTTTTATCCAATGCTAAATATATATATATATATGTGTGTGTGTGTATGTATGTATGTATGTATGTATGTATGTATGTATATTTGTACAATTATCATTATGCGTTACTCGTATAACCGATTATAGAATATTTTATGAGGAAGTTTGGTTTCTTGCGAGTCATTACTTTTACAAATTTTCTTTTCCTAGTTCTGCCATTATTGAAAGACGTATGTAAAAGAGGGTTGCCTTTTGTTTCGGCATGTTTCTTTTTCATTGAAACATTGAAAAACGGCTAGAACGGCTTGCAAACTTCAACAGCACCGTCCGTCGACGTCGGTACTCTTTATAAATTATAAGATAGGTTCTAGGTCGATCGATGTATACTATTAGTCCGTGTTAATTAATTAAGCTAATGTAGTCATTGCCGGTGTGCACCGAGCAAACTATTAAATCTTTCGTTTTAATCTTTGTATCATATATCATCCATTTCTATTCGTCCGTTTATATCTGAAGAATTTTTAACGATAAAAACGATTAGTTTGTATGATTAGCAAATTAACGATAAGAAAATAGAAAGAGAAATAGAATTCATTAAGAGGTCACAGAATCGTGTCAAATATCTAAGCGGATGCATAAAGATGGAAAATCCATTAAAGACTCGTTGGTCTTTATCCGTTCTCAAACTTGCATTCCTTTCCTCGTTTCCTCGGAAGCGACCAAACACGACCAAGCTCGATACATTGTATTTTTACTAGGTTAACCGTGTAAACGGACACGCGATCGATCGAATCGATCAAAATTCATTTTTCGACGCAAGTAAATTTAAGCGGCATTTACGCGCGATCGTTTGTCATCGGCAACGTTCCAATGTAGTATCGTACCGGTATCGGATTTGCGGCATCGCATTATCTCTATCGTAATATATTACGTTGCTGGCAACAGATCGCGACGCGTTCATATTGCGAAGCACTATTTGTTATACGCGAAAGCTCGAGTTACTCTCTGTTGCAAGAGAATCGCTACGGCTCGATCGCACTTTCTTTATATATAGATATGCATATGCTCTCTATACTCTCGTGTTTATTTCCTTTTGCGATCTTGTAAGAATTTCTAATTACGAATTTCTAAGAACTTGTATTCGAAACGAAAAAAGAAGTTTCCGCTCCGCATTAATTGAGATATGTCGGAGCGAATGGTGGAGAGCGAAAGACAACGAGTCGATACGTCAACGCTGAACTTTGGATAGGTTCGTGAACGAACTTTTCCTTTTCGATCTTTTCGATCCACTCGTAGATTTCTCTCTCTTTCAGCTTTCTCAATGGTCTCAGTTTCCATTGAAAACGTCCAACAGTTTTGCATATAGGTTTCTGCTACTTCCATTGTTATTCTAATTCAATTATTATTCTATGAATGTCAAAACTAGCTCGTGACATCGTGAAACTCTGCCGAGCGAGCAATTCCACGATCTCTCGTCTTCCTTTATGCCTCTGGTTGGATTTTTTTTCTTTCCCCTAACGCACTGAAATGTACGCGAAAACTGCATAAAAATACGCGCTTTCGTTGCACTTTTTGTAGTGAAAAGTTGCGTTGAAAGTTTGCGTTTCCCCGAAATCAAATCCACTCGTACGCGCCCCGTGTTTTCGTCGTGGAAAAACAAACATAGGATGCGATCCTATTTTCTAGCTTTCAGCCAGGTGCATTTGCACGAGAACGTGAAGAAGGTTAAAACCTCGTACGCTTTTTGGTACGAGCGAGTTTGTTGATATAATTCGTAGCGCCAGAGACGGCTCTTCTCTTATCCTTGCTCTCTCTTTCTCTCTCTCTCTCTCTCTCTCTCTCTCTCTGCCCCCTCACCCATCATGTTTCAACAGTTTTACTCGAATAAATCGAATAAAATGTACACGTACGTAGAGGTACTCTCATTCAACTCAACCATTTCAATTCCATAAGAATGGAATGGCGGAAGATGCCCTCGATCACATCTATCGATAATTATTATCGCCGTTCTCGTCGACATCGATCGTGTCTCTTCCTCGAGATGCAACATCACGTCGCAAAGTACGTGGCAAACGATCGAGAAAGCTATTACATATACGCGCGGACGCATATACATGTATATGCATATACGCAGGCACTTACGTTATCCGAGAAAACATGAGGCTAACGATATCAACGACCCGTAGATATGTATATCGAGTCCGAAGAGACGGAAAGAAGAGCGTGCGATCGTGCGCGCGAGAGAGCGAGAAAGGAGAAAAGAGTGATAGCAAAGAGAGAAGGAAGATGGCCGTTGAGGATCTCAAAGCGCCTACTTATTTGCACGTACAAGTTCCGCGACGTCCGCGTGACGCGTATTTCATGACCTCGAAAATCTAGCTCGATCGTGCGAGAAAAAGATAGGGAGAAAGAGAGAGAGAGAGAGAGAGAGAGAGAGAGAGAGAGAGAGAGAGAAAGAGAGAGAGAGAGAGAGAGAAAAAGTTTGCGATAGTCGGGCAACTAAAGTTCGAACCGTTCCTTGTGTCTTAAAGTCTTCAACAACGTTTTCGCGTTACCGTCGGATATTCTTAAAAGCTTATTGTTAATCATTTTTGGACATCCCATTAATCAAGCGAACGTCGTATAAATGAATGATGTGTTAGGAGAAACGTTTTCGATATTTTCTAGACAAGGTGCAAGGAAAAATGTTTAAAAGACGTAGGAGAATAATTCGTAATACGTATTTACAACGAAGTCAAAGTCGAATTTCAATGGAAATCGTCACGACGCAATCCAGTGTTCTCTGTATATCGCGTTAACAAATATTGACGATTCTTTAGTATTATCTGAATTTCTAGCGTTTATATCTATATAGCGAAGCGTGTGCGTAGACGATAGCAACGTTTTACGATATTAATTAACGAGTTACGTTTACGGCTGACGGTTCTCGTTATTCGATATTGAAAGAGAGAAATAGCACAAACGAATTCCCTTAAAAGCGTCGTTCGTTTACGCTTCGGCAAATATACTATACTCGTTTTCTAATCTCGTCGACGACGATGAGTCAATCTTTATCGGTCAGCATCTATCGAAGATGTATAAGCTGGGACTCGAAGTAACTGGTATGCAATAAAACGTTATACAAATTGTCCGACGGAGACAAAATCAACCAAGTTCGAGATCAAATGAGAGAATATCGGTCGTTTGTCGGAACCTTTTACCGCGCAATACCGTCGAGCGATAGGCGTCTTATGTAATTTCGTGCACGTCTATTTGTTATTCCATCGAGATGCAAAGAGGATGTTCGAATATAAGTGCGTAAACCTTTCACCTAGTTCGCTCTCATCCATTTCTTTCTCTAAATTCCATTGCAACTATTTGTTTCCTTCGATGCGATCGCTTTCATCTAGAACTGAACGAACGATCTTTCCCGATAATAATTTTTATTTTTTGGATAGGTGACTTTTCGAATCGAGCGCCAAGCTTGTAAACGACGACGATTGCTCTATTGACAAGCATATTTTATTGTATCGAGCTAAAAGACTAGGGATATAATAAATGTCGATCATTTGTATCGGTCTTTGAACATGCGCACGTATCTAGTAACGCTCTTTTTCTAGAACGTTATCAAATAAGTGCTGTTTGAGCGTTGATTTGCGTGACTTTTTCGAGAGACAAAACATCCGTTTGTCTAACGATCATCTATCGATCACGGTGCGATCCGATATTGAGCTCTTCTCGAGCTACAAAGCGAGCGACAAAGTTTGCGCTATTTCTTTCCAAAGAGATGATCCAAAACTCGAAGAAAAGAGGAGAATTGAAGAAAAAAATTGCCTCACGACCGGCCCCGTGCTAAAATAACGATTTCTTGCGGTTAACTCGCGTTAATTAAAGTAATAAAGTAACGTTTCCCGTATGTAGGAGAAACGCCGCGCGCCATGTAGCGCTTATCGACGAGTACAATTTAATTAAATAAAGCCAATAAAAGGGAATATCTCACGGGCGGTTATATTATATTACAATCTCGATCTAACTGTGATTCGAGAGTTGATTAATGCGAGAGACCGAGTCGAATGTATGTCGAAACGATTAATCGATTATTATCGCTCAAGGAAGAAGCGCGAGTTGGCTATCTCTCGGTGGTAAGCTCGGAACTCTAGGGCGTTTGCTCGTTGAAACGAGCGAGAAGGAAAAATCGTGCGGAAAAGTTGCGTTAACGCTATGCTCGATCGAAGGGAATCCCCCTACTGGATTCGCTCGTTTTAAATTCGCTCGTTTAAAGAGAACGTGGTGACGATGCAGATGCAGCCGCGATATGTGTCGTTGACCCCGCAGGTGGGCCCCGATGATAATAACGCTCGATCTCTGTAATTGCTATACGGTGGTTAAACTGGCTGGTGGAACGACGGTTAAAATTACCTGGCCGAGTA